GCAAGATGACTTAAAGTGGGGCACACCTCTTCCTGCTCCACACAGCTGTTGCTTCTTTCTGTATTTGTTATTATGCAACTTCCTATGAACCACATATCTGATTCCTGTTTAAAAGGTTTGATTTTTTAGAGGCATTATTATATAAAGATCTAAGCATTTGAGTTTTAATAAATATTTTAACTAAAAATGAATCCTATAAAAAATTCTAAATTCCAATTTAAGGTACTATATAATATATTCTGGCTGTTGATATTCATGACCGCAAAATTTACAATGACATTGTATTTGTTATACAAGTAAGAAAAATCAAGAAAACTATTCTGGCACTGACAGTGAATATATCTGAACTCAACCTAGAGAGGGTTGATGCTTCAGTTTACAGAAAATAAAAAATAAGATCTTTAATTTTTATTTTAGTTTTCCTGTTTTTTATTTTCTTCTTCCTGTATTTTGGATATTAGCCACTTCATAAAAGAGGCAAAAGTAAACCATTATTAGTCACTAATTGTGTAGCTTGGAATTAAAAACTTGGCATGAGAGACACTTGCCTGCATTAATGCAGCAATATCCTGTTTGTCACTATGACAGTGTCCCCCCCTCACTTAATAATTGTCCAGAGAGTTCATTTAAATTTACCAAACCCTCTATCATCAAGATTTATACATTACCATATTTAAAAGCACCATTTTCCTTGAATTGACAAATGATTTTATTCCACAATGGATTTATTCCACAGATCATATCTTCTCAAATTTGGCTTATACATAAATATTATGGCTCAACTATAATATTATGGTTGGCAATCGTGTTAACAAAAAAAAATGTTGTTTCTAATGAATAATTTGATGACGAGAAGCTTACCAACTTATTTTTATATTATTGCTGTAGACAAAAGGAAGAATTAAGGCTTGTTTTATGTTTGACCATAAGGAAGTTGACAGCCTTGAGAGTTGAAAGAGGAACACCCATGGAACTGCCAAGAACAAGATGAGGCAACCTAAGGGTATGCTTGGTGACAGAAGTAATGTCACCCAGACTTCCAGGCCCCTTGGGAAACCCCTGCAACTGACTGTTGATGTTAGCGTTTTATGTTTCATTCTTAAAGTCATCCATTGAACAAGATGTCCTTGCCTCCTTTTGTCCTCTGAGAGATAACTCTGGTTATATGAATCAATTCATATCTCTGAGCAGGAATATTTCAAGGTACAATGAGTTGCGCGTATGAACAATTTGTACCTAGGCAGTACACTCATATTTTCTCTGAATGATATTTTGGGATTATTAAGTAAAAGTATTCTTAACATATAGCAATGAAATAATAAACAAAATAAGTAAACAAAAGGACAGGATAAGTAGAAGATGCACTGTCATGTTAAAATAGCAGCAATATATTATAAATCTGTGGAAAATTGCTGCTATATCCTACTGCATATCATTTGACTTACCTTATGTAGGCCTCAAACCACATGCATTCTTAATTTATCTTATCCTCCCTACACTCTTCAGAATATATTTTTTTTCTTTAAAACAAGTCAGTTGTCCAGAAATACTAAAACTAAAATGCTCTGTCTGCACAATAGGTGCTTTTAGCAAGCCAGATATGCACAGTTAAGCTGTGCCTGCAGAATTGTTTTTCTTAAAGTGCAGTCAATTGACCATATACCAGCACTAATTTGTTTCTAACCAGCAAGGCATGTGCACATGCTGCCCCATACAACAGTGATTGCAACTATAGTGGCCAGGGTGCTTCTTTTTATTTTCAGCAAAGGGAAATTTAATTGCACAAGCATGCCTCAGCTTAGAACCACACAACATCTCCAGACTCTGCTTCCTTCCACAGTCAGATTTTCCATTTGCCCTGCATTAAGTTTTATACATCCTTCATAAAAACAAAGCTTAGTCTCCTATAGAAAATTCTGGAAAAATTACTTAGAACTAGTCCACTGCAAAAATCTTTTAATTATGTTAATACCTCAATGAAATGCCTGTCATCTAAAAATAATCTTTACAATACTCTCAAACTAGATTTTTTAAAAAATAATTTTGTCAGACTTTAGGTGTTCACCAGAGCTTTAAAATTCCATCTTAAAATAACAGCACTAGAGGGCAGGTGGTAGATTTCTAGGACATGTTATATTTCTTTAGGCACTCAGCCTGTAGCCTGTTTTTTTTTTTTTCATAATAATTTCAGTCCTGGGAAACTATAATTATCTTGAAGCACACTACTTACACTGTCTTATTTCTTAATTACAGTAGTGACATGAGATAAATGCATACTTACTGGGATCAAATGCATATTATTTTGTGGTGATTATAAAGAAGTTCTCATGACAACAATTGCAATTATATGGTCATCAACTACTGATACTGTTATGTTCTAGAAACTCTAATTAAGTCCTGCCAAGAGAACATTTCCTATTCGAGATAAAAGAGCTAAAGGGTGAGAGAATGGCCAATGCAAAAACCTGTGACATAGATAACTCAAGCTTGTTCAAATGATCCCATACGAATCTCAAGAAATATTATTATATCATCTAACATTTGGGAGAGTCAATGTAAACTTCTACCTAAACAAACTATATAAAGAATATTCTCCAATATAGTCTCTCTTTTATGATCTGTAAGTATAAAGTTTGAATATACCCAAGGGAAAAAATGGACAAGAAATATGACAGAAATGATATTATATCCAAAGATAAATTCTGAATCTATTGGTAGCATTGTTTTCAAATACTATAATTCATTGTCTTAAAAGTTTTAATTTAGGGGTCAGGTTCCATAGCAGCCCTTCTGCAGAAGTAAAGGTTGCCTTGCCCACCACCCCCAAAAGAAAGAATTTTTCATTTAGGATTCCAAAAAATAATGTATCTTTTGTCATTCTATTTCAAAGAAGAAAGAAAAACTATAAGTTGCCAAGATAATACTTACATAGTTTTTTCACTGTCTTCTATAGAAATATGTACTTTATCATTTTTGTAATGGAGAAAGGGAAAAAATGATGGGTGTCAGATTCTATATATGAATGTGCTTGGGTGGAAGGTCTCAGGCATATCCTATGTTGGATGCGGGAATCTGGCTTCCTGAGTTTGAAATCCTGTGCTGATGCTCTCTAGTTGTGGACTTCAAGGAGTTATTTAACTGCTCTAAGTCTGTTTCTTCATCTGTGAAGGGGGCAATAGCAGGACCTCCGTTGTAAGAGCATGGTAAAGATTTAGTTCTTCATATATGTAAAGGGCTTAGGATCATACCTAGGACATAGCAAATGCTTTGTAAACTTTAGATATTCATTTTGTAGTTCTGAAAAACTAAGGGTGAAGAGTCATGTCCTCATCTTCTCTTTTTTCTTTCAACTATAATGGGGAGTGAATCTGATAATTTCAAGAGGTTTTCCTCAGAGAATTCTTTTCAGTATTCTAGTATGACATATGGAAAAACACTGTCTTTTCCAAACTAAAAGGGCATTCAAGGAAGGAACTTGGTATCTTTTACTTATAATTCCTTGCCAGAGTATTGTTTATTGAATTCTGGTGCAAAGTTATGCTTTTTTATTTTGAAATAAAAGGTCTCTTCTCTGGGCATTTGCAGTTATACAGTGACATATCTTCTGAACTGAAGGTCATCAGTATAACCTTTACTGCAAAGAGTAGCCAGCTGGGTCTGCAACAAAAAAATGGTATTGTAATAGCACTGCATACCCATTTTTATTTCCAAATAACCCAAAATAACCACATCAAGCAACATACTCTCTTAAAAGAAAGTATGTGAACAATGTTATCAAACCTTAGCTTTTGAGACACTTAACTTTTCTTCAATATTTACTGTTCAATTTCAAATGTTGCATTTATTCTAGTATTATTAATTGTAACATTGTATTTTCCTGTTTTATTAAAGAAATTAATAAAGTACTTTATTCTATTACATTGATTGCTTTGAACGTTTATAGATTTTTATAATTGGTAGTAAATTTACTTTTAAACTATTTATATTTTAAAATAACTTGACATTTTTAGGAACAAATACAAAATATTGTTACAGAAAAAGAGCTCTTTTTTTAATGAGTTGCAGAAGTAATCTCTGCAATTTAGATCAAAATTATGTCATTTCTCCTTTATTTGGTATTTTTAATTCCTTTTACAATGCCTGATAGATTGTAAATTAGATTATCACTATAATTACATTCAGAATTTTGGTTAGTCTCTCCAGAACAATCTCTATTTCATTTTTTCTTAGTTTATATACACAAAAGAACAACAGTAACTGAAATGCCATATAATTTTAGAGTTAACATTGAGGTTTAAAAAATTGTAAGAAGATTAGTGAGTATGGATAAATGTAATCAATTTCTGTGCAAACATTATTAATTTTATGAAATTAAATTTTTAACTGATACATTAAAACATAAAAATTGAACATATTACTGGGGTACTATGTGATGGTGCAACAAATATATATTGCATAATATGCAAATCAGGTATCTCCTCAAGCATTTATCATTTCTCTTTGCAGAAAGTAATCAAAATCCTTTATTGCACTAAAAAAAATCTCCATTAGATAATAAACAAGTATACTAAAGTCTGATTCTATTTCAAACTCTGTGTGTGTTTGTGTGTATATGTGTGTGTGTATCTATATCAGAAAATATCTAAACCAATGTTTTAATTTTAGAATCGATCTGATTCTGATGCTTGACTAGTTTGAAAATTACTTGATTTGATGGTTTGATGATACTGATTCCATAACGGGAAAAAAACTGATATTGAAAATTATACTATACTTTGGATAAGCAGTGAGGGAATGCCAATCTCAATAACAACTTTAATTTTAAGAGTGAATTTAAGTGTTAGTTTGATAGAGAAATTAAATGTGGGTCCTTCCCTATAAAAAGATAATTGTACTTCCCATGAAATTCCAAGGTAAGGTGACATGCTTCCTAGAGATTTTGCTGCCACTTTTGAGCTTAAGTGGATGATATTATGTAGTCATTTTTATCTATCTTTCAGATCAGTATTTTCATGACTCATTTATCTAACTATGGAAATGATCGTCTGGGGTTGTATACCTTTGTGAACTTGGCCAACTTTGTGCACAGCTGGACCAACCTGAAGCTGCAGACTCTGCCCCCAGTGCAACTGGCTCACAAGTACTTTGAGCTCTTTCCTGAGCAAAAAGACCCTCTCTGGCAGGTAACATTTAATATTCTCTCCTGGGATAGAGGGAAAGAAACTAGCTATTTGTGACTATCTAATGTGTGTTAGGAAATCTACCGGACATATTAAAACTGACCTTTAAACACAAGCTGTTCTCCTATCCAATAATAGCCTCATTCTCTTCTTCAATAATATTTTTATTTGTATTACATATCAAATGTTTGCAGTTTTTATTTCTATTCCTGGGTTATTTGCTTGATCAGTTTGAAAATTTTGCATCGAGGATACTGTTATATTGTTGGTGTGCTCCCCATGCTAAACATTTAACTAGTTTGCAGCATATATACTAAATTGCAGAAAAATGGTTAGCACTCATATAATTTAATTTAAAGAAATACTATCAAAAAATGGTTAGCACTGAGTATTTGGGACATAGAAACCAAGAACCAAGATAATCTAAGACCCTGTAACTAGATTCTAATCTGTATGTTCAAAATACAGTACACACAAAAAAGGAAAAGCAAAGTTTTACCTAGTGCCCATAGGATTTAGTGTCTCCTAAGCATATCTTCACTTTTCTTTAAATCTTACTAATTTTTCACTAACATTAGACCTACTAATAAAGAGAATTGTCAATTTTAGGATTTCTTTTACCGGTAATTCAACTTCACGTGGGGCCACTCAGCTTGGATGCATCAAGTGTAAACTATCTGCTTCTTAGCAGTTAGCCAGGAAAATGCTGCCTCCCACTTTCCTAGTTCTTTATGCATCAGATTATATCGACCCACACAATCAATAAGCTGGCTACAGAGAGCAGATATCAGATGTTCCCCTGCTAAGCAGTCTCTAGAGAAGTAGTATCATCATTAATGAGAAATTACTGCAAAAACAGAATTTTTACTACCTCTCTCCTCCTCATCAAGATTGTTTCTTCTTTTTTCATAAATCATGTTTCATTTGACTATATCTTCACAGTAAGGAAGTCTTTTGACATTTTTATTGAGCATCTGCTATGTAAGGCAATCTACCTGCTCTAGAGCATACAAAGAATAAGATATGACACGTTCCCTCAGATCCTGTGTTGGGTTTGTTCTTTTCCACTATCATATTTTGAAATGTGTTTTAAACTGACTGCTCTGCTAAGTCATGCCATATTCTGCTGATTTATCCAGTAGACATTCGCCACTTGTGTTTACATTGAACTGCTCACGTTAATTCTCTTCCCTTCAGATAAGTTGCTTGTTTTTTTGGAATACAACTTAGACAAATATAAACAATTTTTTATTAGTGTGTGGAGTTACATTAAAAGATGATTTTATAAAGGCAAAGCATTATATCCCATAAATGATGGTTACTCAGTGGCTCACATGCTTTTGTAAAATTGATGAATCATTGATCGTAAGTCACTTATTTTCTTACATGTTTATATATGAAATATCTATAATTTATGTTTCAGTAATAATAGAAAGCAGCCAAATTATCCAAGTTTATGACAGATGGCTGACATAAAAAGAATCAATCAATGGCCCTCAACTCTCTTTTTTTTTTTGGAGAAAAGAGGTTCTGGTTTTAAAATAATGAAATAAATTGTCATATTTTTTGAACTTTATAAAATAAAATATTTATGTATTAATATTGTTTTGCTATCATTGAAATACTTTTTTTACAATGAGAATATAATCAAACATATGGCTACTCCAATATGATTTGTTTAAGATAATGATTCTAAATACTGATTAAATGTTTTTTACATATAAAATTATCAGATATTGTGCTAATGAATTAGGGATACAATATAAAATTGAAATAAAAAAATGGGGATGGGGTTTTAGCTCAGTGGTAGAACAGTTTCCTAGCATGTATAAAGGCTTAGTCCCCAGAACTGCAAATAAATAAATAAGTAAAGAAATAAAATAATAATAAACTGCAATTATTCTTTATAGAATTATGATATTCTGGAAGGTATAATTATATTATAATATTAACATTAATTATTTATTTATCAATAAACAATTGATCATAACCTCAATAAAATAATACATTAATTAAATAATGAATATACCAATAAAATTAATAAAAAATAAAATAATTAATCAGAAACTATTTCATAGAACTCACAAATTTTTGTTACTAATGTTCATATAAGTTTAGGAATATTCATATATATTAGCATAGCAATCTATTGCAAGAGTATTTAATTTTCACTTAATAAGAAATGTTTTTATTGAAATATTCCCTTTGCTACCTTATGAATTATATTATTTATATTGTCTATTTTTACCTAAAGATTAAATAAAGTTGCAAACATTCTCTGCTAATAAAAGTGTCACATAATCTGAAGTATATTTAAGATGGAAAACAAGGAATAGAAAATAGAAGAGTATTAAGTTCAAGAGAGAATTTAGATGCTTGAGATTTTAAGAGCAGTCAACTGATTGCAGCAAATTGGATAAACTTTGCCAATTATAAATGATGTCCAAAAAACTCTAAGTGGTGAAGTAATGACAAAGTGCATAAAACCTTTATTTCTTTTCCTTGAAGATTATTTCTTCTTTCATGTTTATATCTACAATATGGAACAGAAAGCTGAAGGTATTTCCTTTATACAACAAAAATTTAATTATTAAAAAGAACAGATAAGCAAACCTAGCATTTATTGATAAACATTTTATAGTCCATTAATCATGACTCTGGAGTTAGGAGAGATAAATATGAGGACTCTGTCATTGTTACATACTGTCAAAATGAAATATTCAGATACGTTTTTGTGTTCATGAGGAGTTCTTACTTAGTATTATTCTCTTTTAAAAGTAAGTCAACTATTATTTTTCTTTAGATTTTCAATTCACACTTTTTTATTACCACAAATAGAAATAAAAAAGTGCAAAATGGTAATCTTCACATCTATTGAATTTTCTTTAGTTCCTTATGTAAATTTTCATTAGCACCAACTACCATATATGTGAGGCTGCTTTATCACCTAATTAAAAAGTGCAATGTGAATATCTGCCATTGGGCTGATAAGTACAAACAAGATGCATCTGTGCTCCTCTCTCACGGGAAATTGATTCTTCTAAGGCTGATTAATATAGTAGTGTGTGCTGCGGACACACATGGAATGCAATCCCTGGACTGTTTCTTTGTCAGTTAAGCCCCTCCTGTGTAAGAGTCTTAAAATTATGCTCACAGGTAGTTAGTAATTCATGTCCCTTACTGTTTTGACAGAATAATCATGCAAACCATGAAAGAATAGTTTCTTCTCTCCCCCCTCCACCTCTCTCTCTCTCTCTCTCTCTCTCTCTCTCTCTCTCTCTCTCTCTAATTCTTATTATAGAAACCAAAACCAAAACAAGGAGGCAGCAGGAAGGTCAAATTCTTTTGCATTCCCTAATCGATGCTTTTAAGCTCTCAAGCTGTCAGGTTAGCTCAGTCTCAATCTTCACTCAGTCACTCGGCAGACTCACTATCAACAAATATGCCAAGTGTGATGTGGATTCCTGCCTGCCTGTGTGACCAGGGGAATGCTCAAAGAGCTGCAGCTTCTCTTGTCCATGCCTGTGTCTTCAGGGTTAAAGAAGTGAGAAAGTAAATCACAGTCTGCTACCCTTAGGTGGTTAGCACTTTTGTTGATTCTAGCCATCAAAGCATCCAGCTCCAGTGAGAAATGATGAGATTTGAATGTCTGTGACATAAACAAATCACAAGATCTAGCACCACACAGACTCTAGGTTCGATTACTATGTGTCCACTGAAGTAATGAATGAATGCTGACACAGAGAGTTATAGATTGAAGGAGCAGAAGAAGTTGGAGACATTTAGCCCAACTTACTCATTTGAGAGAAAAAGTGGATGTCAACTAGTGAGATGTTCTAAGTCAATTGACTCCTTAGAGATGAGCCAGGACCAAAGTCCAGGTTTTCTTATTCTTACTCCAGTGCAGCTTCAACAAAATGGTGGTTTTGCACTTAGAAAGACAAATCCACTTCTATCACCCCCTTCATAGAATGAAGTTTCAGGGTTATGCTTTCAGTGTGCATTTATTCACCCTGTACTTTTGAAGGACCTACATAATAATAAGAAAGGTCTATACTTTCATGGAACTTGCAAACTGTAATATCGCCTTGTTTTAGTAATGAAATGACATTGTAAATTTGTCTTCATATTTATTCCTCTCTTTAGCACTCTATAACATTAATAATTGTTACTGCACTTATCACACGATATTGTTTCTGCTTGTCATCTGCTATCTCAACCAAACCTTGAGGAGTAAGATGATGTTTATTTATATTTATAACCTAGAACTTAACATAGCACAATAGCCTCTTATTAAAGTATCATAACAGAATAAGCAAAGGAGAGGTGTGCAAAGAATAATAGAAATACAGCACTTGTTTCTTAGAAGTCAGAACGTAATGGGAAATAACCTTGAGGAACAGGTTAAAGACCACGGGAGAGCTTTGGAACCCACCAGTGTCATTTGGATTTGATTGGCAATATGGAGCAATTAGATGTACATTCTACAGGTGAGAGTGAATTGACAAGAGAAAAATGTTAGTCAATATGGATAATAGGAGAAGACTTTTTTTTTTCAGGACAGGAAAGAAAAGAGAGGTGGGCTGGGGTTTCAACTCAGTGGTAGAGTGCTTGCCTAGCACCTGTAAGGCCCTGGGTTCGAGCCGCAGCACCACTAAATAAATAAACAAAATAAAGGTATTGTATACAACTAAAAAAGAAAAGAGAGGAGAAATTATAAAAACAATCTATATATGAGAGAAGTAGTCCCTGAATAGCTTCATGGCTATGAAGAGTAAGACTGTCAAATAAAAAGTGGTATAGCTTGTTTGTAGGAGAGAAATAATAAAGAAAAATTATTAGAGAATAGTTAACCCACAGCTAGGAAGACCAAAGTACTACAATTACATATTTTTCATTTTGATTCATTTCTCTTTTAGCCTTTCCAGTGAAATAGTATAATTTTTACCACTTCACAAATGACATAGTGAGAAACAGACTTCATTATCATCTAAAATATTTTT